ATATATATATATATATATATATATATATATATATATATATATATATATATATATAAAATATCTCTTACAACATAAAAAAAGATTTATTAAAATATGTCACACTTAAAAACTCAAGAATTCTTAGGACCCCAAAATATGTAGTCAATTAGAGAAAAGTACCATGTATTGAGTAATTGGGTGAGAGATGGAGCCAAAAGTATTGGCAAGGAAAAATATGGGGTAGTTGGGTATTGATCTTTGCTGATACCTATAAATCTCATTAAGGAAAATGACCTTCATTGTTACCCATTAGTGCCTTGGAATTAAGAAAAAGAACCTTCAAAATTTGCCCATCAATTGCTAGCAACACCTCCAATACTCTACTAGAAGATGAAGAAGACAAAACACAATCGCCTTTAGTGACGAATTGATAGTTATTATTTCTTCTAAAGACACTTAGAGGAGACTTTGGACGTACCTTGAGATCTCGGATATTCAGTTTCACCCATTCTCACTCCGTTCGTGCCAAGTCTTTAATAGATCTGATCATCCCTTTGGGTTGTGCCTTTGTCTCCATCTACTCCTCGTTAAGGCCATTAAAGCATAATTGGGTATAGCACCATATGCTACATGTTTCCTAATCGACCTAAACTAACTTGACAAGAATACCAAACCCTCTAGCCTTCACCCTAGTCAGCGCTATAGCAGTATTCCTAATCCGCGTAAATTCATTGCGGAGATAATTCCTTTGATTCGCCAAATCAGGTCCTTGATGCAGTAATTCCCCCATTGCATAAGTAGCAGATAACCACTCACTCTGCATTAAAGAAAAAATCAACAATATGATAAATATTTTTTAATTCCTTTCGCATAGCATAATTTTGTAAACAAAGCATAACCATATTCATTTATAAATGTAACGACATAAACATTATACATTTCCCTCTGAGAATGGCAACAACATGGAATAGTAAATTTATTTTTCTTTTTAATAAATTATTGAATATTTAAATTCAAATTTATTATATTTCAATATAACGACAACAAATTTATACCATTTAACCATTAATAGGAAATGTAGTTGTTCCTACACCCATCTGTTCTAAAGCCACCAACAGAGTCAGTGAGGAAGGCAGACATCAACCCACATGACAAAGTCTGAGGAAAAGAATACGAATATATTATAATTTAAGAGTAATTGTCAGCAAAAAATTGAGTGATTGGCGCTGGCATCGGTACAAGGATTAAGGCAAACCAGCAGGGCAGCATCTGAACACACGGCTTCTGCTTCTTTAGCTGCCACCTTTACACGACAATTCAACGTTAGAAATAAAAAATCTCATGAAACCCATTTAGCCAAACAATTTTCCTTTATGTTTTTCTATCTATGCAGATAAACATTTTAAGAGACGCCCCCCTAAACATCTCTGAATAAAAGATACAAGCAAACCAACTTTGGTCGATAATAAGTTCGATAACCTGGAAACAACTCCATCCATCTTACAGAAACATTTATCCAAAAATAATAATAGAATAAATAAAAGATGCAAGGAAACCAATTTGTAAATTAAATAAAACGATGACCAAAAAGCTATCACTAGTCATACTAACAGAAGATGGAAAACAAAGATAAGTTGCCATATATACATATACAAAAAAGAGAATAACCATTTTACATGGTCAACAAAACTTTCCTGTTCACAGCACTTGGTCATGCCTGGAAATTAAGAAGGCTAGATACTTCCATAAAAATTTTCATGATTCTGTACATTCATGGTGCATCTAAAACTTCCATCCAAAGCCTCCAAAAATTTCTGAAGATTCAATGATAGGTTTAACCGTGTCGGTCTAAGTGATGAAACATGAGCAAACAAAACAAGCTTACGATTTCTATACATGGCAGAGAAAAACCTGCCGGATGTGGTGATTGATTATTCCAACTGAATCTGCTCTGTACATGAGTAGGAACTATCGTAAGTCCTTGATGAACATTGGCTTGTCAGTCTTTTTAACCGCCTATTCAACAATATGAATAATGATAAATCTGGGTTCTAAAAAGTTGCAACAAGTAAATCTAATGCTCATGCATCTCAAAGTGAAGAAACGGAAATAGGTGGCATGAGCTCCCAACAACTTTTCTAAAATTACCAGGAATTTGCAAAAGTTATTTTGACTACAGTAATGCTAAAAAATGAATCATCTACTGAAAAATGAACAATGCAGTAGAAAGCCCATTTGTATAAATATCAGAAATGACTTTAGTGAAACTACCTCGCTTACAGTTTTAGCAAGGTAGAACCTTCAAATGAAATGTGTATACTAACAAAATGTTGCCAAAAGAGTGGTAATAAAAGGGCAATGGGACTCAACAAGTACTTCAAAAAAAATCAACTTCAAAATGGTGAAACCATATATATATATTGACCAAGGGGTTCACGTCAATAATTACTAGTCCGACAACCAATTGGAGCATGAACCCTTGTGGTATATGTATGTGATGTAGAACAAAGTAGGGAAGTAGAGAGAAAGAGAGGGGAAGAAAAAGAAGTATGAGATAAGAGAGGAGAGTAAGTGATTAGAGGAGATGCAAATATTTTCATTTAAGTCTGAAAATGTTTGATCCATTGACAAACTTCACTATTATATGGGTTTAGGAGCCTTGGTATAATTAATGAAGAAAATGATTCCCAAGAGTAATCTCCTAATGAATTAATATATCTTTTAGAAATCTAAAATGTGACTTAGAATTTTTAGACCAACTAATCTAAAGTATAATCGATGACAGTTTGAAATAAGCTTTTTCTGGTGGAGAGATTGACTGGGTTATTGTATGCAAATTTTGCATCGAGTAAGGTTAAGTCTCAGTTTTTCGAGTTTCTCCCCAACTAAACATCTAAGGAGATTCTCAAGGAATGGTTAACAACCTCAGTTTAACCATCAATTTGGGGGTAAAAGGCTAAAGAGAACTTCAATGTTGTGTCAAACAGTTTCCACAGTTTTTCAAAAGTTGATAAATTTCACATCCCTATCAGATACCATGGTTAAGGCAAGCCATGTAATTTAACCACTTCTCGAAATAACAATTTAGCAATATGTGAGACGTCGTTGGTCTTGTCACATGAGATAAAGTGAGTCATTTTGTAAAATTGATCAATAACAACAAGAACAAAGTCATCTCCACAGGCTATTTTGGGAAGCCTAAGAACAAAATCTAAACTCACATCTTGCAATGGTAATTACAGAATGGGTAATGGAGTGTATATGCAAGTATTGTGTTTGCGAGTTTTGGCAATTTGACAAGTGCCACTCCGACACACTCGAGCAACATCTTGCTTTAAGGAAGACCGATAAAATCTATCCTCGATTAATGCAATGGTCCTGTCTTGACCTAGGTGACATGTTAATCCACCCACGTGCATTTCCCAAACAAATGTCTCGAAGGGAGGATCGAGGAATACACAATCTAGTGGGTCGAAAAAGGTTACCACCCTTAGGAATGAAGTTCGTATATTCATGACGGTTTCCATCTTGGACTTCTCGATATATGTGACTAAAGTCTAGACATTGGGTATACTCTTTCTTTTAATTGCTCGAATCCTATGACCTTGACACTCATGGTAAATAGGATTATAGAATTTTATTAAGGACATCAACAGCTTTATTTTGAGTACCAGAACAAAGCTTAATTACAAAAGATTTAGGATCCAGTAAGTGAAGTCCCTTGGTTGTTGGGGCTTGTGGATGAGATTTGGATGTTCTTGATTTGACCTTTTCTGGCGGTTTTGTTTGTCGCAGAATAATGTTTTTACCTTTGTATGGAAAGATAGGTGTTTTCTCTTCCATGGTTGGTAACATCAAGGTCATACAACCAAGGTCGACCTAAAAGACTGTAGGCAACATCTAATGGTAGAACGTCACAATAAATCTCATCTTACCCATTTTAATGGGTACTAGGCATCTCTCAGTCACGGGAAGTGTGGTTTTTTCAACCCAAGCTAGTTTGAATGGAATCGGGTGTGATTCTACCTTAATGTTTAATCTCTTGATAGCAAATTTTAGACTAAGTTCATAGTGATAGTGTGAAACCCCCATCAATAACCAATTTGTAAGTTTTTTCATGCTTCGAATAAAAGTATGGAAGATACTTATCCTCTTCCATTCATTGGAATCACTAGCAGTAGAGAGAATTATGCGAACAACATTAACATGAGCACCTTCAATTACTAGTTCGTTTTCGTCACCTAAGTAGGCTTCCGATTCAACTACTTGGTTTACTCCCTCGATTTGATCCTTTGGTTATTGTTTTAAGGTAAGGGTACATTGAGGACGAGAGGCCAAGTGACCTCTATTATGGTAATAATAACACTAGAATGAAAACGAACTAGTTTGAGAATCAGTAGTTGAATGAGTTTGACAATTCATGGAATTTTTTACTTGACAGAGCCACTATTTGGGGTAGATTAGGTAATAGTTCTATTGTCAAGAAACTGAGACGATGCTTGACGAATTGGATAAGATTTGATGTCCTTAATCTCAAGGGCTCATCGGGAAGTTTCCTCCATGGTGTCAAGGAAACTAAGGGAGACTTCCAGTTGGATGTCAAACCTCAACCCAAAAACAAATCTTCGAACAATGATAATTTGGTCCTTTTCTATTTCACACCTAAGTAAAAGTTTCTTAAATTGGGGCAAATACTCTACCGCACTAGAATTCAACTATTTAAGGTTTAACAATTTTTCAACTAATTGGCTTCGAAAGTAGGTTATTAAATATTTTTCCTTAAAAGTTTTTATTTCATGACTTCCTATTGAGTGATGAGAGGCTCTCGACGGTGTTCGAGACTACGTTGGACATGTTGTCAATATTTCCAAACGGAGCCTATTAGTTTCATTTTTGCAAATCGTACACATTCAATATTAATCATTCCATACCACTCAAAGTAGTCTTCCATGCTATATAACCGATCAACACACACAGGGTCAAACCTACTGTCAAAGTCCAACACATCCACTTTAACTCTTCTAGCCATTTCTCTCATATTGTCAACAAGTCGAACTCGTTGACCCATTACTCAGGTTTGTGGATTTCTATAGGTTCTAGGAATTCATCATTAAGATCAAAAGCTTGGCCATCAAGAATTATTGGAGCATGATTGTGAATAGGTGCCCTATAGGTGGACCTAGGATTTGTTTGAACTAGGGCTTGGGAAGTAGGTAAAATTCCTTAATTTGAAGCTACGAATTGGGGAGAATAGACATGTTAACTAACCGACTCATCAATCTCCTCATTCATGGGTCGTTTTTCAAAATGTTAGAAAGCTCTTACGACTTGAGTTATTTGGTCACATAACTAATTCAATATTGTGTCATGATCTGCTAGCTTGGTCTTTAAGGGTGTCTACCTTACTCTGTTGGTTTAGGGACTCATCATGATTGATTTGCTTTTCACCTCGTCGAGTCATGATTCTAATGCTATCGACAAATTACTTTTTGGTAATGAGATTATTAATTATTGTAATGCACAAGATAGAAATGTAAAGTTTCAAATGGTTTTCATTTTTTTCACTTTTTGTCTTTTTTTTTTATAACTTTCAAGGGTTCAAATTTTAGTGGTACTGTAGTTGCAGCTAAAGGGGTGAGGGAAGATGATAAATTTAAGAAAAAAAAAAGAAGAAGAAAACAAGGGGAGAAGTGATGAAAATTATGATCCGATGAAAAATATAATTTTTCAATCCAATAAAAAATATTAGTAAAGTTTTCAAAATTTTACTCGATAATAAGAGTTATATGGTCCAATTCCACATGGGACAGTCATCCTAAGGACCAACTCCACACGCAAGGGATTGACATTGGAGGTGCAAGGATCCTTGAGTGTTGATCGAACCTTTTGATGCTAGTTGGAACCTAATGGGGTATAAGGCAAGTTTGTTGATATCCTCTAATACCGAATTGATGTAGAACAGAATAGGGAAATAGAGAGAGAAGTGTGAGATAACAGAGGGGAATAAAATACTAGAGAAGATACAATTCTTTTCATTCAAATCTGAAAATATTTGATCCACTAACAAGTTCCACTATTTATAGGGGTTTAGAAGCCTTGAAACAATTAATAAGCCAATGATTCCCAAGAGTACACTTAATACAAAGGGAGTCCCTAGAAAGACCAAAAGACTTTTCAATTTTCAACCTAACTGTTAGAATTTCTAGGTCAACTAATTGATGATTTTTTATTGATATATTTGCCTAGAATAAATTTTTCTGTAATCCTTTGTAAGACTCGATAGTTCTCCATCAGTATAGTTTGGTCCAGTATGGACTATTACACCTGGCAAGCTCACGTACCTTGCTTACCAAATGGTAAACAAACTGATACAGAATTGTGTTGGGCATTTAACTTATTGCCTTGTACCTCTAAATTGCCATTTGTTTTCTCCATTTCTCTCTTGCCTTTCTCATGCACTCTCTCACACACTCTTTCCCCCCTCCTTGGCCACCACTGCCTTTGCCTTACCATGCCACTCCTGTCTCCTCATCGTCCTACTGGTATATTTCTTCCTCCTCTCTCTACCAGTCGTCTTCCTCCATCTCTTCTCTTTATCATCCCCTCTTATTACTGATTCTCTTCATTCTGAACGGTACAAATCCGTACCGAGTGCTAGCATATTGATCCATGATGGAACCTTACCAGTCCTATGACAGGACCCAGATTTTGTATGTTGATCTTCACAAACCATTGTTAATCAATTTTGACAGGGGAAAAAACTAGTTAAAAAAAATATAAACCACCACACAGCAGTCTAGAAAATTCTGAACCAACTAGAGCTGTAGAAAAAACTTATTCCTTTTTTCAACTAGATCCAGTTGTTTTTTATTAAAGTTGGAATGTACTAGTAACAGCATTAAGTTGATGACCAACCACAACCAACCCAGGAAGGGGCAGATTTGACTGAATGATGCAGCTTCATAGTTGGACAAAAAAAGGCCAAAGCTTGGGTGATCTCAACAAATAAAGACAAATTTAACTAATATCTGCATAAGATAACAAAATAACTAGAAAGAAATGCCCAACAAGAAGATACACTGTATTGAACTTTCAACGTTCGAATAATCAGAACTATCAAGTACATTTTGTTCAAAGATCACTTTCTAATATTAAAATGGAACTTCATGTTATTAGAAATAACATATTGCGGCCCTAAATTTCCCAACCAAAACCTCACAGAAGTTATAACAAACATACCCTTGAGTTAGATACATGACTCAAATCTTACACAACTATGAGATTGTTATTTGAACCTTCCTTTAAGTTTTAGAATCCCTTAAATTCATGCACTCCAATTCATCTACATCCATCAGCAAGTATAATAACATCAATCTTAAGCTCAAAACCAAGTTTCTGGAAATACCAGAATTAATCTAGTGGATAAATTGGCTACAAGAAAACACAAAAGGATTGAAAGGTGTCGGAGAGACTGTTCAAAGCTGTGGATGAATAGAACAGAAATGACCAGATGATGACAGTTGCAATCCTGGAGGCTAGGTCTGCGAACTTGCTACCGCGAGTGACAAGTATGACCTGCAGCGACCAGATCAACTATGATTGATGGGGCAATCAATTTATGGTGATGAGGGCAAAGGACATCTAGCCACATGCAATAATTGATATTATGATTATATGATGCAAGGTGTTCGCGGCAAGTACTAATCTACAGCATATAGATGTAGCAACAAGAACATACATCATGAATAGTGAAATTATGAACATCTCATCAACTAGCAGCAAGAGTTAACAGCCAAAATTGATTTTGCAGTGAGTATAAGTTGCAAAACTTCAATGTCAATTCCATCATTAGATTTGTAACTAAGAGCAGATCATCAGAGTTCAAAATAAATTGGAGAAAGATAGTAAGAAGTGAAGACAGCATACATACCAAAAGTAGGTTAGTTTACTTCATTTTGCACTTCTGTTAGAAACTCAATGGTAACTCAGCGAAATGTTGATTGAAACCAAGGATGATTATGCAATAGATCACCATATACTTCATGTGAAAAATAACGCACCATTCTCACCATGCTCAGATGATAAGATTCCTTTAAGATAATCTTTCTAACTCACAATAGAGGGGCTTGAATGATTTTAAAGGCCTTTACTATTTACAAGATGAATCAACAAAATAATTCTCCAGTACACAACTGGCAACCTGCAGGGTCCACTAACAACCTTGTGCATCTTGCCTCAGAAAAACCTTGTGTATCATATGAATATCATCTCCAACAGGAAACCCAGCAACACCAGTAAACAGATGTTCTGCTGGGATTAAGCCACAGAGGGTTTATCAGTAGCCATTAAGAAGGTTCTGAACCTAAATCAAACTTCTTTTTGTCCACAGAAGCATCATGAAGACTACAATCATCAATACATTGGACAAAGGATACCTCATCATTTTTTACTTTCAGTTCCATTTGTGAACTCATTGCAAATATGATGAGACTTGTCCAAAATATCAGCAGCAACAAAATTGATAGGTGTTAAATTAGGCTGAACATCATGGATATCTGCATCTAGCATCCCAGAACAAGCCATGTGAGAATGGTTAGTCTCACTTGGTATCCTGCAGCTCTTAACAACACAAGATAAGTTTGATTCACAAACAGTACCATTTGTTACGTAAACTGTGTCTAAAATACTTTGCTGTATAGAAAACCTAGCATTTTCATCAGAATCAGGAACTGCAGCACTTGAGCAAGAAGCCCCACTTTCTTCTGTAGCAGCAACATTCAGACATCTTTTAACAATTTCAAAAGCATAAGGTTCTGAGTTCCCATCATTTACAGAGGACTTTGGATCAAGGATGGAATCTTTAGCTTTCACCTTACAAATGCTATGCATCATTTCGTTGCTTAACAGAAAGCATGGCTCTAAATGCACCATAAGAGATTTTTCAAAATGATTTGCATCATGAGCAGATTCAGAAGATACCTGGTCATTGCTCTCTGATGAATTTGGAGAATGAGCTTTGGTTGTCACATGACATTGAAGACTAGGAGTTGATGTAGACTCCAAGGAGCCTAGTGGAAGTTCTACATTCATCCTAACATTCTGTTTCAATGTGAAAGTATCAATACCTAGAGGAGTGCAATGATCCTCCAATTTATGTTGCAACAAGTTAAATTCTGTGGAATGCATGCTAAGAGAAGCAGATCCTGATTTTTTAGTATCAGAGGCAAAACCATCCAGATAACTCTGCTTAGAAACAGAATCACATTCTTGCAGATCGGCGGATGGATTAGCTTCTACATTTTCCCCTTCTTGACTATCAAACAAAGTTAGCTCACTAATCAACTCAGCTTGTTGATTAGTTGAAAAATCAACTTGACATTTATCTTCATCATGAGAACCTGATAAACCTCCCCCAGGAAAATTGTGCATGCACAAATCACCAGCAGTCTCCAAAATCTTGTTTTCTTGAGATTTACAATTGGGTCGAGGAGAATCAGAAGAATCAGGTGAAACTCTAGAAGATGACAAGCTAGGTTCTGCATCTTGATTTGGATTTATGCAATGGACAACATCCTGACCAGGAATATGGAGGTTGGGCTCAATAGATGAGAACTCAGATGATACATGAGTTGATATTGTCTGATGCTGATGTTTGATGTCATTATCAACTGTATAAACCACAAACAAGAAATATGAAAGGGAGTTATAAAAATAATAGTTATAAATTATTAATAGCATTCATCACGCACCTCCATCGACAGCTGAATATTGTACAGAAGAATGCATTTTCAGGAGTGGCTTCTGTAATAAACCAGTACCAGGAAAAACCAATATTTTTATGGATCTAACTTCTAATTCTTGTGAAACCTCAAGAGGTTTAAAGCCAAATACATTAGACCATGTGTCCTTCAGTTCAGAAATAGCAGGTATAACCAGCTTTTCGATATCAAGAGAGAAGAGGGCCTGAAAATGAGAACAAATTATTGCAAAAGAAGCAAGAAGAAAGAAATAACAATTGAAATGTTGAGAAATAAATTACGAAAACAATTAAATTACAGCAATAATTATGAATAAGCTAACTGTACATGCATTGCTAAAAATGCCCAAGAAGAAAACAAGCTCAAATAAGTCACTGGTCAAAATACATGTGCACAACAGACGTCACCCCAATTTCAGATGGTCCATATGTACTGTTGCAATGTCATTTCTTAAGAACATAAATATCTTATGTGTCAGTTCAGTACAGAAATATCAATTGGATGAGAATTTTAATCTTGGTAAATGATATTTAGCATCCTTAATGACTCAAAAATGATTTTCTATAGACAAATAACATCAATCTGTCACATCAAAAACATAGATGATTATAAAGTCATCAACCACAGAGGAAGTCTAAGAAATTGACAAGCAACTAGACTTACCCTAATTAATGAAAATGAACTAATCTTTGAATTGGTACCATAATAACTATTACATGCTGCTACAGAAAGCCCATGCAAGAATTTGCATCAAACAAAATAGGTTCTTAGTTCAAAATTCTTCAGTAACAATTTTCTGCACATCATAAATGGTTAGGCTAATAAAGATTTAGCACAAGGATAAAGAAATTTCATTGTCAACAGTACCACATAAAGTAGCAATATATTTTATTCCAATTTATTTTTCTGAAATGCCAGCACATTATCTTAAAGTACAATCAACTTTGATATAGAAGAGGCAAAATTCTGCCATATGAATTTTTCCTTCCCAGAATGCCCTTATATGTTTGCTCAAACTTCCTATGCTGTATCAAAAATTTCTTTTCATGACTCACCAAAGTACAAATGCAAATAACATGCTTTCCCAATAGTACATATCATGGTTCGTCTTATCGGTCCATACCAACATACCGACCAGCCATCAATACGGTACAAACCTATGTACTGACACATGATACGATAGGATGTACCGATAGATCAGTATAGACCACTCATACCAGTCCCCTATCAGACCGGTACATACCCTAAGTGCAAAAAAACAGTATTAAATTTCCTAAGACTTACCCAAGCTTTGATAAGATTGTAGATAGACTTCGCAAGCTTTGTGAAGTTCGTATAAGATATATAGAAAAAAAATGATGTTACTGCAGGATACAGACCTGAATGCTTTATATAAAATGCTGTGTTTTTCTTCATTATAATATGCATCTTACATGTATCAAACAGTATCCACGCATATGCACATGCATTTTAAATAGTGGCTCAAAGAAAATAAAATCACCAATCTTCACCTAAATTTAAAGTAATAAAGCCATCAAAATTGTATGAACACTAGACTAATATTATGATCAAAACAATATAAACCAAAAAAACTAAAATGTTTTATGAAAAACACTTTCATGAGTTCTCAATGAAGGCTTAAACCACTTGTTATAACTGTAGATCTTCAATTGAGGTTACAAATGACTACGGTCAAGTGACAAATTGGTTTATAACTTTACACATGCATATAAAGGAAGTTGTAAAGACCTTGATACTTGTAAGATAGTTGAAAAGTGAACAGAAATCTCCGCTTCCTTGCAGGCAGATGCTATATACTGGATCACAGTGGACAATAGCCTACATGGCCTAAGTTGGCCTCTAGCTTGCAGCATGTCTAAACTTTGTTTAAGTAATGAGAATAAATTCATTGGTAAATCAGAAATCATGGAGCTGAATACAGACAGGTCATATCTCTTCCCATATCTCACATTGAAAGGAGCTTTGTGCATTTAGACATCCTTCTTTTTATCCTTTTGAGCAAACAAACTAAATTAAATAGCTAAGTAGCACATAAGATGCCACAAAATGAAACAAGTACTGCTTGCCAATAATGATTTGTATTTAGTATTGTCAAAATGTATTTGGAATCTGAATGTGTTGACAAAAAGACAGAACAAGACAATCACAATTTTGTATCTTCAAAACAATATTAAAAAGCTAGAAAATAAAAAAATCAAGCTAACATACTGATTCAATTCCATCTAGAAGCCGACGGCACATCCCTTGGCGTCTATACATGTTTCTCGTCCCAATGAAAGGCATTTCAGCCAGCTTAGTTCCATGAATTCTGTTTGACACAATAAAATCATTAGACCTTCAAAAACAAAGATGAAAGAAAAAAGATCTATAGATGAAGACATTAAAAGGAAATAACATCCTGATAAAAGATTTGAGTATCTAAAGAAAACTTATGGTTTAGATCAAACTTTCTACTTAATTACTTTTTAGAAAACATTAGCTAAGTCTTATTAGAACATAAACAAGGTATACCAATTAGCCGTAGTTGGGTAAGAATGTTTGGCTTCTAAGTCAACACTATAAAAAGGTCCAATGTACCCAAAACTAACCCATTACAACCTGCCATCATGCATAGGAAAGAACAGAAGTGATGGCAGTAAAATCTAGAGGGAAGAGGAGGAAGATGAAGGTTAACTATGAACCTGATTTCTTAGCCAACGGCAGTACTTGATTAATGTCATTTATGGAGGTGATGGATGTCCAAATGTGATTGACACTCGATAATGGGAAGCCAGAAGGCAAATGGCCAGCCACGACACTCACAGGTAGTGGGTGTTCAGGATAAGGAACTGAATGGTTTGGCATAGAGTAGCCTAAAGAGAAGTTAATCAGGAAGGGCGAAAGAAAGCAGAAAAAGGAAGAGAATGGAAGAGAAGATAGAAGAAAGGAAAAGAATATTAGGTGAAGAAATATAGACATCTAGACCAAGGTCCCAAATTCCAGTCTAAGTCTTGAACCGATCCCTGGCCGGACCGCTATGGATTCCTGGGATACCATGTGTGTTGACACAAGATACACCCCTGACAGAGACCAACGAGAAAGCGGGGAGGAGGGAAGGATGAGGAGATAAAGGAAAAGGAGGAAGTGAAGGAGGAAGAGATGGCTACACATATTGTAGGAGGGAAATGTTGCCACGAGGAGAAGGTAGTAGCAATGATGAGAGAAAGTGAATGAGGCGGCAATAGAGAGAGAAGGGAAAACTTTTGATAGCAGCTTCCCTGAAAATCCTTAATGTTTTTTTGCCATCTAAACACCTCTTATTGATAGCTGAAATCAGTTCTGTCCGAATTTAAAAAAGGGAAAAAAGAAAAAAAGGTTTCGAACTGGACTGAATGCCTTTCTTGAAGCTTGATTTTAGATATTAAATATAAGTATGGAAGTCGTCTTAGGTGTTTTGACATAGTGGAACGGAATACGTATATCATGATTAGTTGCAGTCTTTCAAGTTTCAACTGAAACACAACATGTCCTGCTTACATTTTAAGATAAGTGGAGCTTTTGACTATATCTATGACAGCCTTGGGACATCAGTTTGCAGGTGCAGATGAATCACTGTCACCTCCACTAATAACTCTTATTTAAGAAGGAAGATCTTCATTTCTCATAACAAATGCAGGAAGGATGAAGAATTGTTGATTAATTTAACAACCCACCTACACAACAGAATGAATGAACCTAAGGTACTAAATCTGACCCAATGACTTTTCATGAAACCAGATGCCAACAAAGTTAAGTAATCATCCATCAAGATATCTTCAATTTAACACAGACAACAAGACATGTACCTGATAGATGCCACAGAAATAATTTCATCACCTTGCTCCAAAATAAAAGAGTAGAAACCCCTATAGTTCAGCCGATTGAAATTTGATCTACAAATTTGAAAAAATAAAAGGATAAATTTAGCTAATAGGTTTGCATTGAAAAACAAAAACATCAGTAAACCATATTTAGTTACTAGAAGAGTCAAAAAAATAAAGAAATTAACTTTAGCATAAGTATAAATTGCCCCTCCGAGGCATTCCGATGAATGAAGATCTAGTAAGGCTGTAAGTACCAATGGCTGACCTTAAATAGTTTTCTATGGGGAAGTGCATTGCCCTTTCATAGGCGAAAAATGTATGTTAGTTTCAAGACAACAAAAAGGCCATGCCTTTATTCCTCCTTTCTTCTTTACTCATTAATTGGTGATCAGGCCAGTAATTACCATAACTGGTATCAGACCAAGATTAAGAACTTTAATAGGTATAACTTCTAGTAATCTTCTACAAGTAAGTTCCAAATTAAAAGCCAACACATTTCTCTAAATATGCTTTAAATCTGTCATTTGATCGTAGAAGTTAGAAGCATACTAGATCATTGTTGGTGAACAGGTATGGCTTCAAAGTTCTAAAGTAAGGAAATCTGATAGATGCTTACCCACAGTTATACACAACATTATGAATCAGGTTAACACCACTTCTCTGGTCAATAATCGGAAGAAAGCACTCGTTCATAACTGCAAGGGCAACAGCAACCTTCGAGTTGCATTCAGCAATTAAATGAGACTTCAGTGGTGTTTTGGGAGCATCCTCATCAAAACGCCTAATAACACTCCATGAGAATCCTGCTTCCAAGTCATTCTTGATCCCAAGAATCTTCTGCAATCGTTTGAAAACCTGCAGCAATGAAAAGTAGTATAGGTTCATCTTAAAAGGCTAATAGATACACAAGCTAGATATTTACAATTAAGTGATTAACTTCTAGAAGATTTTTAGAAAAACGAAGCTTCATAAGAGTCATTTGTTCCAACAGAAGTTTACACGAACTTAATGTCACCGTCTCTAACATGAACTTAGAAATATCAATCAAGATCATATCACCACTGAACAAATATGGCTGCTTCAGAACATTACAACAAAGTCAATTAATGCCCACACATTGGTCTATATACAAGTTATCTAAAGCAAGCATCAAGCTTATATTTTTCTTGGTTCCTACATTTTATGTTAGCCACTTCTCAAACATAATTGGTAATTTTCCAGGAAAAGACAGCATAAAGGAACAGATGCACACATTTCATCCAACCTGTAAACAACATTCTTAGTTCATATCATGACAACTCTTTATGGAAATATCATGGCTAATAGCAAAGTTGGCTTAAGTGGTCCTAAGTTAAAATAATGAAATACAAAACTTATTATTTGTTTGCTTCAGGAGGAAGGAAAAGAAATTGCTTGCAAAATCTATAAAATTGATGAAAGAGGAAATAACATCTTGTCATACAAAGGTGAATTAACTCTTAAGAGTTACAATTTTATGACTTATGACAAGTTTATTTTCAATGTATTACTTCTTATCAAAGCTCTTAAACTACTAAGTCTTCAAGGCTTTTCTATCTCTCTCATAGTTCTTATATTTCTTAATATTATCATTAATAAAGACACAACCCATTTTAAATACCAAACATCCAATAGTTTGTATCCAATGTGACACATACACTGTAAAACCTGTAAGTGTGTGGATCTTTTGAGTTGGAACAAGCATCAATTTGATGCTAAAAAATCTAGTTATCATCAGATTTGTGGAGACGAAAAGATGTAATTCACCTTGTGCATGAGATCGGGCTTTGGACAGAGAGATCAATGCTGTCCTAACTCTTCCCAGGGAAGCTACTTATGTTACTCAAACAACTGACATCGAGTCTCAATTGAACAACATCATGAGCATGCCCTAAGTGCAAGAACGGTCATTGCTCATCCAAAATGGAGATATGTAGGAGATTATAGGTTAAAAAAAAGCTCCTCATATCTGTAGAGCATACTGTTGATATGCTTGCTGATCTGAAAGCACATAACAATATCTACTTGAAAAGAAACTAGAACTTGATAGCCAACGAGAATATACCTAATTGACAGAGAACCAGGCATGTAAAATAGATATTTGATCTAATTAAATTATGTGTATAAATTAAGCATGTGCAGGTTAGTAACTTTACACAAAAAAGATCTTGTTGATGCCTTCTAAATCATCTAGAAATAAATTTAAATATAAAAACAAGATAGAGTTACCAAATCTCAAATAATGCTACTGGTTGAAAATTTTAAAAAGCTACCAATTATACCTTTCTGCAACTTTGGGCACAAAAAGACATGCCCGAATTCTTGGTAATGGCAGAAACAGATTCTGCATCAGGAACACAGCCTTGGTGGTCTAGAAAACCCAAAATGCAAAACAAGAAGTTTCATCACTATGTAAACCTTATCAAGGTTGAAATTTAAAAAAATATAAAAATAATAATATCCAAAGAGCAATTGCAAGATCTGTACATTTTGCCTCACACTGGTGGCACGAGAGTAACGAAGAAACTGTTCCATCCGTATCTCGGGTGGCATCAGTAGAGATACCCCCACAATATCTGCAGCAACAGTTTGTACAGTGCCAATCTCCAGGAGGAAGCTTCTGCAAAAGAGACATAAATTACTTGAGCCAGGCAAGCATATACCAGAAGACCAGGCTCCCAGTATGAGGACCGGGCTGCCAATGCAAAAATGTGAAGCATAAAAAATGTAACAGGAATAATGTAGCATGACTTAGACACTATACTACTGCAAAGTATTTTTTTTTCCTTAGCTTTGCAGAAGGTACCACGGCCACTAAATTCATTTATCTCCAACCTCCACCAAGTCAGTGAAAATCAAGAAAAGGTACCATAAATAAAGGATCAAAAGAGAAGAAGTCATGACTGACCCTTTTAAATTTCAAAATGCAATGACATATGAATAGAAGTTCCAAAACTGTAAGTGACTACTGTTATTCTATTTGACGCACCTCAATGCCCAAACAACTCAAATGGAATGTTGAAGGACAACCATCACAACAGATCAAGTCACCACCATCACCGCAGATGCCACAAGTATCATCATTTGGGTCATCACCGCTTACATCAACACAGTAGAATCCTTGGCGTTCTGACTCGTCCTGCTTTTTCCATGCATCAAGCTGACACTGCAACAGGGAAACTCCTCCATCTTCCAGAAATATATATTGTGATGGCTGGAGAAGTTTGCTTCCAGCATGAAGCTCAAACTTTGGCACAGGAATAATTTTACTGCAGCAACTGCAATTAATACCATCTCTTGTTATCCGGCCTTCCAGCTTTGTCTTTGTTTTTCTCTGGTTCATGTATTTCACTTTTCCATTTATGGGCAAGACACCCATATCTATCATCCATGAGAGAACTGTCCTTTTCCAGATGTATGGAACATAATCATTATCTTCAGCTTCTGCCTCCTGGTTGCTGCCACGAGCCAACAGAGCGCATCCTCTCTGTTTGTTTCTTCCTTTTTGAACATGCTTAAGAACAGTGGAACCAACAGCAATCTTCTTGTTTGAGGGCAAGGCACTGTTTGACTTCTTTCTGCCTCTATTATCATCAAGCTTATCCTGAGTGTCTTGATGTCTAGCATGCCTCATGTCAGAACTTCTCTTTACTTTCTTTTTGCCCCTTTGAGTTTCCTTGAGCTCTTCCCTCCTCCCTCTCTTGTTAACAATTCTCTTTAGTATATCTAAGGATTCCATCGGTACGACAGAGTCACTGCCAGAAGATGTTTTAGAGGATCTTCCTGAAGAATTCTTGCCCCTCTCATTGCATGCCCTGTTCAGTTGTTCCTGATATGCAGCATAAGCCTTTGTAATTGACCAATAACCACTTTTTCCTTCAGGAGGAATATAAACAGAATCTTCATAGTTTCTGCCTTTCCTTGGCCTCAGATCTATTGTCCAACCAGCATTAAGAAGTATGTTTTTTATCTGATCCCTGAGGTTCTGTTTTTCAGTGCTGCGTGCTACACTTGCTTTATTTAATTTTTGTTTTGCAATAAAAGCAGCTTTTGAGCTGGATCTGCTCTTTATTTTCAAACCAGTCCTGTTCTTCAGCTTATCCGTTCTTTTTTTTTCTCTTTTCGGAGAAACAATTACTGGCTTTGTTTTTCGTCTACTGGATCTAATTTCCTCAGTTTTGTCAATTTTTGCCTTTCTTGATTGATACTTACTGAATGTAGCTCCTGTACTTGATTTTCCATGTACTCTTTGATCTGGAGAAAGAGATGGTCTCTTTGGTGTACCTCGGGCGGAATCCTTAGGAGAGCCTACAGCCTTTAATTTTTCCTCATCTTTCCTTTTAGAATGAAGGTTCTTCAGCCCATCTGCCCTTTTGTTACTTGGTGAGACCCTCAAGACACCATTTTTCCCTTGCAACGTCAGAACACCAGCTTTGGATTGTGACATGGCAGTATCTGCTCTCTTTTCATTAGCAGAACTGCTGCTATTATGTCTCATACGAAGTGTTTGATTACCTGATGACTCTATTGGCTTGTCTTTTTCAGCTTCTCTCCTGCTAGTCCTGGGAGAGTTTGTCTGCGTGTCATTCTCCATCAACCCATCCCTCTTGCTGCTCGTGGGATCTACAGGTTTGGAACCTACATCTTTTTCTGCCTCCATATCATTTGTGTCATCTCGACCATGCAACAGTTTTCTTTTTGATATTTCAGAATTGTTGCCTCCTCCTCGTTCTGAAAAATCCATTTCCAGTTTCTTTGCAGGAACTTTGGCATCAGCTGGCTCTCTACTCCTTCTTTCCAACTCTGGCTTGGTAACTTCTTTCTTGTCAGAAACTATGAGCTCTTCATTTCGCTTCATGAAATCTGGCCTTAAAACCCTCTTCTGATTCTCTACCTCAACCTTGCCTTTCTCTTCCATCCGCTCCACGCCATTGTCTTCACCGATGCTCGAGCTGTCTCCGTTCTGATCGGTCCTGTGATCCACCTTGCTTAGAGAAAACAAACAATCGTCTGAATCCGAATCGCTCAAAACCAACCGCCTCTTCTTCTGCCGATTCGGTTCACGGACCTCCTTCGACGCAGAAACCCCGTTCGCGACCCCCCTCTTCATAGCAACCGTCTCCTCCTCCACCGAAGACATAGCAACGAAACACCAATATCCCTTCACCAAGAGAAGTCACTCCTAATCCAACGCACGAACCCAAACCGATCGCGCCAAGGAATCCACGGTAAGAGAAAAAGATCCCCAGTCACCATCCATCCCGTATGGATCTAGTAAAAGACCAGCGCGCCTCTGATCCCAGAACAGCAACACAAAATTGAAACTTAGGGGACCAAGGAGAGCGAATCCGGCATACCTCCTACGAGAGATGGAGATTTTGAAGAATTGGAGCGGGTTGCGAGAGGAATCGATGGAGGCGAACGGAGCCGAGGGGATCGATTGGGGTTTGGGGTAGCTGGATCGAAGCGGAGACGAGGGAGAGCGAGCTCTCGAAGAGGCGATGGGGGAGTTTGGGTGTGTGTCTTTGGAGCTCTAAAACAAGTTTTATATTTTTTATATTTTTTTATTTTTGTTTTTCGGGCTCGTATAAAAATGAAATAAATATTATTAGCCATCTCTGTTTCCAATTTCCCTCCAACTCCTCGGTATACGGATGGAAGGATTTCGACCTAGATATTTCACGGTCAGATTCTACCACATTGTATGTCCGTGAGCAAACGGTGGGTCCCACTAAACGCGGGTACGGTTTCGAGTAACACCGAAGCGAGACTTTGGCCACGGAAAATTTCACGGCCAGGACATTTATTTCTTACTTTCTGATACCTGTCCGTGCTACCTCCCTTTTGATTGGTAATTCTGTAAGACCCCACGAGTGCGTGGACAACCAGGCGGGTGAACGACCGGGTAATAAATTGGGGTAGAAACCGTTAAGGGAACGGGAACAAGGGACAAGATTTGGTTTGGTTGGTCTGTTCGCTGCTCGGGCCAATTGGTTAAAGCTCGAGCCGGCCCAAAACAACCCACGAACACAGACCGTACACGTAGAAAAGTAAAAAGCCATAATATTATTTTTGGTGTCTTGATTTTTATGAATACGTATACTGATGTTTGTACTAATTTGATTTAATCATATGAATACGAAAGGAACAATTCATGAATGCATCATTTTATTATCCTGAGGTTTTGCATAAGTTAGCAATTATTTGACATCCATTATATTTGTTTTAATGATCGATCGAGTAATCAAGAGATGTCACGAACCAAATATTCATTATAGAAATAAACTTCACGTCTTGCGTTCGTTGCGTGAATTGTACCTGTATTATCATTGGAGGAAAATGCCGGACCCACCTGTGAGGATCAACCATGCGGAGGTAGTCGAGTTAGTGTGGACGACAACCCGTCCGTTTCTTCTTGGAACTTAAATCACCTACTTTTACACTCCGGAAAAGAAAAGGATTTCTAGTTTACCGGCTCGACGAGTACCCGCTTCCGACGGACGGGGTCGATCGCGGGCCCCACATAATGGGCCCCGTAGCCTCGCTAATTTTGCGAAAGGTGATTGGCTACTTATAGAAGGAACACGCCAAGGATTCGCTGGCAATAACGGACTTCCACTTAAAATTACAGATCGATGCACTTGCTGCCCTTTGCAGAAATAGTTAGGGACCACCAGCTTTTGCAATAAAGGAGAGGGTAGTTGTTGGGTATGAAACAGCAGGTGAGGAAAGGGCACTTTATGGGTTTCTTCCGCCTATAATTGACCCTCAACCCACCGCCGAGCACAAGAATTGTTCTCCGTTTCCCCCAATTCCACTCTCGGTTCTTCTTTCCGTCGGCCGGCCGATCGATCGATCCGGTCTCTCGTCTTTCTTCGATAATCGTGTCTGATTCGCGATCTTGGTCGACGAGCATTCGGTTTTTTTTTTGTGTTTCTTCTTTACTTCGTGATCTTGACATGGCAATGCCGGGTTGTTTGTGGAATTGCAGGACTAAGAGGGTTCCATGGCGAAGAATTCCTTCAAGTTGGATAATCCCCTCGGTCTGTGTTCTCCCTCTTTTTCTTTCTTTGTTTGATTGAGAAAAAAGTACATGAGTCGATTAGGGTTTGTGCAGCCGAAATCGTACTTAACGTTGGTTGGAAACCGTTCTTTCTTTCTTGTTTCGTGAGATATTTGGAATTAGATTGTTTTTCGATTGAATATGATTTTCTCTTCGTTTTATCGTTTCTTGGTGGTTCTTCTAGGTTTCTTTTGATCTATTTGAAGTTGACCTGAAAAATTGGGATCATGGATTGGATAGTGCTTGTTTTGGGAATTATATTGATGTCGGTGTACAAGTCTTGTTGTTCAACATCTTGTAGGTAATGGTAGTAACTGGTGAATGGGGATTGGTATTTTCTTTTTCAGAACATGAATACGGTGCTGCACGATGAAATTGGAGACGTTTAGTGGATCCATCTGTGTATAATGGTTTTGGTTATATATTCAAATGGTTTTCTCTGATTCTCACCTATATTCTATTAATGAATTTTTTTAATTGGGATAGTTGGTATCCATCCTGTGAACTCATAATCTTTATTAACTCCAATATTAGGTTTTCTCTTGTTTGCATTGTTTTTTTATCTTACTAGATTCTAATGTTTATTTTCCAACCGGCGATTCCTTGATCCTTTTTAACTCGGAAATTTCATGTTCTCCCCAGTTTGCAATATTTTTATCTTTTTTTTTATTTGTTGACCTTGTTCTTTCTTACTTGAAGAAGGCATGAGAAGACAGTTCTCTGCACTTAGGCAACACTTTTTATGATATTAGTAATTTGACATGATCGTTTGCACCACATTTCCCCATCTTTAACTGATGGCTTGTTACTTTTTTTAATAATAAAACTTTGTGCATCGATGTGTTTGGTATTACAAGTGATGGTAGACCTTAGACTTCTAACTGGTCTAGATATGCTTGCTTTCTAGAGAAGCAGGTAGGAAATGCAAATTGATGGGGTTTTAGCTCACTAATTATTTTCTCTAAAGCCACATATATCTTTTAGCATCTAGTATGGTGTTGCATTCTAATGTTTTCAATTTGATCGTGATGAATCAAGTTTGTTTTATTTCATTATCCATGTAAATTCTAATCTACAGAAAGGAGGCAAGCTGAGGCTGCTCGTATCCGGGAGAAATATCCTGATAGGATTCCTGTGAGTAATTGATGTCATTTTGATTATGCACGAGGTAACCAGTCTCTGTTCTGTTCTGTGTTGTCTAAGTTTTCATTTGATGTAGGTGATTGTAGAGAAGGCTGAAAGAAGTGATATACCAGATATTGACAAGAAGAAGTTAGTGTTTTAACACATTCTTTTTGTTACCCATTAAGTCTTATTGAATATATAGAATCTTTTATTATCAAATGTTGTTATTATTTGTTCTATATTGAAGGGATGTATTTTTTAAACTAAATTAAGACTGTGACAAGGTTCTCCTACATTCTGAAGGTTAAATACAATTATGCAGTGTTTTTTTTTTTCCCCTTTTTAATTGCACTGGTCTTGTTTTTCTCAATGTATTTATTCTAGAACACCCACATTTTGTTTAATGTCATCCACTTACTAACACTTATCATCTATGACTTTTGAAGTTTGACATTTTATTTTATGTTGTGTAGCAATTGATGCTGATGTGTTAATGACATGTCATGTATATTGACTCTCTTTTTACTATTTTTCTATGTTTATGTGTTGATGATTGTCATCTACTTGCATTGTGCTAATGTGGCTGATTTGTGAAATATATGTGATCTCATGTGGGTACAAGAAGAGGGGGTTCCTAGTTATAATATTTCCTATTTCTACTTTTTTTCTTTTGCATTGTGTGCACCATGTAGGCATCATAGCAGTACCTTGTTGGGATCCTGTCCATGTGGATACGATAATTTGTCTCTTCTAGTTATTCATCATCTATCATGTTATATTTCCTATTTCTAGTGCCATTTCTTTCTTCACTATGTACCATTGCATCGGTGCCTTATATGATTCTCTCCTCATGGGTACATTTAATTTATTTATCTTAGTTATTCATAGTAATATTATTATGTTGACCATCTCCATATGATTTGAAATCTAGATGCCAAGACTGTCTTCATTATGATTTGATTTTGGTATGACATGAATAATGGAACTATATCTTGCATGACAGTAAAAGCTCCATGAGGATTTAACCCTTAGCTGTTCTCATATCTTTCTTATCTATGTGGTAAAGGTCAGAACTCTCAGATCGGTTCTCACTGTAATGAACTCTCAACAGTTCAATCTATTTATATATGATTTAATGTTTGTTCATAGTTAATCAAAGTATTTTGTTATATCTTTTCTCAGTATATGACTAATGACCAACCAAATAACCATAAATGAATAGGCTTGAGTTAGGTCGTTGCGGTGTTTTTTTGGCATATAGCAGTTATAAGGACTCCACTGACCTATTGAAGGCTTATCAGTTAGGATCCAACTAACAAGTATATTTAAGATATAATTCATGCTGGGGAAAGTGTTTGGGATCCCATCTTTTATTGAGCTTTTGATAGCATCCTCGTTGAATGTCAATATCATGGATAGTTGGAATATTTTGAAGTTTTCCTTTTTTATTTTTTTATTTTTTGGGCTTCTTTAGGAGTTGTATTTGGGATGTCCATTTGTTTAACCTTGATGGAATTGTGCATGTAAAGAAATCCTTCAGGATTTTCTGTATTATGTCACCCTGTTTCATTGCCATAATCAGTCTCACCATCCATATAAACACTTGTTGCTCAGATATTATGGGCGTCATCAATAGGTCCTTTTATTAAATATGGAATGCTACACTACTTATGTAGTGGAAGAAATGATAAAAAGAGGAAGATGCTTACGATACATTTTTAGGCAATGAGGAAGATACATACAATACATTTTTAGGCAATGAGGTTCAGTCTTTTTTCGCTATGTGCGATGTTTATGTTTTAATGTTTTCCCTGCAACTCTATAGTCTGTGTTTGTTGCAAATCTGAATATATCAAAAGCCTAATTTTTTTAAGTGGAGAATTTCCAGTTGGTCTCTGAATGATGATCATTCAGAGGGATATAGAAGTTATTACACTTGTAACCTTTGTTCCCAATGGTGTGGATGTGATGTTTGAAAACAGATAGGAGAAAAATCCATGTGGACCATTTGCTTGTTTGTGCATAATAGTTCAATGCTGCACGAATCTGGATTATTTTCGATTGCTATCAACCTTATTGGAGATTTATTGATACAATGCTGTTTTGTACAATGATGTTGACATACAACTCTGATGCAGGTACCTGGTTCCTGCCGATCTCACAGTGGGACAATTTGTTTATGTGGTGCGCAAAAGGATTAAGCTCGGTGCTGAAAAGGCCATCTTCGTCTTTGTGAAGAATTCACTACCGCCGACTGGTGAGATAGAGTGAAAGCGTTAGTGTTGATTTTGTTATTTTTACTATGTAGTTTGACGGTCATTTTTATGCAGCTTCCCTGATGTCTGCGATCTACGAGGAAAACAAGGATGAGGATGGTTTTCTGTACATGAGTTACAGTGGGGAGAACACATTTGGGTCTGCGTAGAACATATTCAGTAAATAATTTCTGATAACATGTACATTCTCCTTGTTCTCCCATAAGTTTCACATTACTCTTGCTGCTTCATTTACTACGCCGTCACGAGTCTGTCCTACTTTAAGTCCCTCTTGCTGTTTAATATCCCCTGAATTGGAAATAATGGGTCTTAAGTTATCTTGTCGCATTTTAGTTATAGATTGCCTGCTTTCCCAATGTGGTTAGATGTGTCTATCCGTTTGTCTTTGCATATGCTGGGTTATATCCTAACGTTTTTGGTACTATGTTCTCCCGGCAATCTACCCCACTTATTATTGACGGCGTTCAGTTCTTTCCTTACACAGAGCAAGGGTTATTGAATCTCCTTGAACGATCTTTGTATTTAAATTTTTTATATTAAAATTTTTGTAATTATAAAAAAAAATATTTAATTTTGTTTATTCTAATATTATCAGTTTTATATAGATAAAAAAGGTAATGTTAATACTCTAATCATTATATATAAATAAAAATAATAATATTAATATTTTAATTATATTTATTTATCGTGACGGATAATGACATCGTTAGGGGTCGTCCTAGATATAAAGCAGTAGAGAGAAAGAGTCTGATGTCACTCTGTCGACGACGGCTATCACGTCTTTGACACAAGTTTACGATGGATTCGCCCTCTCTGTGCTTCTTACGATTTTGATCCTTTAACCTCTCTCCTTCATACTTGCCCGACAGTGTTTAGTCTGACGTCTTACCATCATCCATGGCTGATAGACCTTTAGATTATGAGTTGCTAGCAAACATGAAATATAAGGTAAAGGCCTGCCTCATCACTTGGTGCTTGCCTACGTTTTCTTTATTCTTCCTCATCCTTCATTTACAAAAACACCCCCTTCGTTTCTTTTGCCATGTCCGGTTTCCCTACAGCGCGCGCTCTACTTGATCCTTGCCGCATTGATACCGGAGGCCGCCATCACCGCCGCCGCCACCCCGCCCTCCTCCTGATCCCTATCGCCCTCACCCGTTCCGCGTCCTCCCTCGTCACCGCCTTGTCCGCCGGTAGCCGCGCCGCCGCGTCCGCGAGCACGTCCCCGATTTTCGCCCTCTGGGCCGCGTTCCCCACCCGGGCGTTCGCCTCAGCCGCCGCATCCGCCGCCGACCCCAGTCCACCTGCGAGAGGACCGCCGAGCCCCGTGGCCCTCACCTCGGCCGCCTGCACCGCGGCCTTGTCGGCGCGGCCCACGGGTCTGTCACCGGCCGTCATTCCCGCTGCCTCCAGCGCCTGGCCGATCGTCACCCCGTCGCCCGCCCCCTTCGCCTCCGACGGCGCCGGCACCGCGAACTGCGACACCACCTGAAAGCCACAGACAGCGGCGAGTGACGCCCCCCGCAGTTCCAGCCAACATCAAACAAAAAGGAGATCCGGGCTCTTCACCTGGCCGCCGGAGACGGTGGTGACGAGGCGTTGACCGGGGAGGTCAGTCTCGGTGACGACGAGGCCAGGTTCGCCGGGGTCACGGTTACCGGAGAGGGCCTCCTCACGCTGGACTCGGGCGGCCGGGTCCCCGTGCACCGGGTACACATCGCCGGGCCCCACGCGCTGGAGTCCAGCTCTTGGCGGCTGTTGCTGGCTCATGGCTTCTTCGCCGAAGCGGAGCGGCTGTGCGTGCAAACGGTGCTGGAAGGGCTTAAATGGTACATCCCATGCATGAATAGGTGGCGACACTTGTTACCACTGAACACGCTGTGGGCTCATCACTGAAACAGGTGTTGCATTAGAACTCGGGAGAAGTCCTGCGTCGTCAAGTCACAGGTGTTATGTGATTCCAAGAGCTCAGATTCGATTAGCTGCCTTGCATTGATCTGATTTAGGTTTTTGATATTGGCTTTAGACGATTTGATATCTTAAGAGTAACAGTGAACTAATAGTCATAGTAGCATCACAAGCAAGTAGGTAATGAATGCATGGTTCAATTTTTAGGGTGAGCCAACTTCTCTGCTCAGATCCATCAGATCCATCAGATCCATGGTTGGGCCGTGGGACTGTCTCGCATCCTGCGAACCGAAGGTTCCCTCGGCCTCTGTGAGCTGCAGCCTGGCCCAGCCCATCTAGGCTATTCTTTTTAGGGCTATTACAGTAATTAGACCTCGTTAATATTCAAATCTTTAGACTTAAAGAAATTTATATTTAATTTTTTTATAATTATAAATATTTAGATTCATTTACCATAACATCGTCGGTTTTATTGACGGAAATATGAAAATAATGAACAAAAATATGATTTCAATATTCTAGTTGGTGATGATGGATGATGTCGATGGTGGCAGACGACAGTGCCACTGGAGACCACAGGTATCTACTATGGATGATAAGAGTGACGACAAGAGATGATGGTTGCTTTGCGCTTGTATCGACGTCGATGCAATTGCCAAGCAACTCTTTCACCGTTCTACATTTATATTAAGGGTAATTCTATATTTGCATCGGTGTTGCTACAGTTGTCGAGCAACCTTACATTATCATCAATGCAATTATCGAGTAAAAAAAGAGTTGTTCGGGATATGTATTAGTCACCCTTTTGTCGCTCGACAATTACATCGACATTGATGCATATATAGTGACGAAAGGGTCACTGAATAATTATGTTGGCATCGACATAAATGTAGAGGAGCTCTCATCTCTCGCCGACAACGTCCACCATCATCAATTAAAATATTAAATTTATTATTTATTTATTATTTTCATATTTTCATCAGTAAAATGGACCACATTAGGATAAAAAAAAATCTAGATATTTTTTTATTATTATAAAAATTAAAATATAAATCTAAGTACTTATGTAATCAGCCCGGACTGCAGCATATGGGCCTCAGCCTAATCGTTGGGGCTCCCTCATTGAGAATAGAAGAGGGCGACCTCTCTCTCTCTCTCTTAGAGAGAGAGAGAGAGAGAGAGAGAGAGAGAGCCTCAAGGAATGTACATAAGTACCCATCGGAGGAAAAGGCAAGCAGTGGTTAAACGGCATTGCCAAGGTCGCATGCCAACCTCACCTAATCCAAACCTCGGTAGCAGCAAATACACAGCTTCACCACCACCTACCTAATCCGTCTCTGCAATAGGTGGGAGCAGGTGGCGACCGCAAGATGGTGACGTGCATGCTGGATTTGCTGTTCGCGGAATCAAACATCACAGAATCTACTCCTGGCGATGGATGTTAGCTGAGGTTGGCAAACACTATCGCCCACCTTCGAATCTAACCGCATCACAGAAACTATAAGAAATCCGTGGTTTCTATCTTCCTTCCTCCACACCGTCAGTTCTCAAGGCTCTCACGCACACTCTGCTTCGACTGCTGAGAAGAAGAAGAAGAGGAAGAAGAGCATGGAGAAGGCCAAGCGCTTCGTCTTGTTGCTGGCGGCGGTTATGGCGGTGCGGGTGGTTTCGGGCCAGATCACGACGGCGTGCACGGCGGCGCTGATCACCAGCTTCACCCCGTGCCTCAACTACATAACGGGCAGCACCAACGGCGGCGGGTCGCCGACGGAGGACTGTTGCAAGGCGCTGGGCGCCGTGGTCAGCAGCAGCAAAGACTGCGCCTGCCTCATACTCACCGGGAACGTGCCCTTCAGCCTCCCCATCAACCGGACGCTGTCCATCTCGCTACCCAGGATGTGCGATTCCATGTCGGTGCCCCTCGAATGCACAGGTACGTAGTCTTTGTTCTTCTCGAGGCACCACTGGCACTTGGGCTGCCGGAAGACGCAAGCAAACAAGTGTTTTGCATTATTCATGTGCTCTATTAACGGCTGACGACGATCTATGCTGTCTGCAGGCACATCTGCGACACTTCCAACTCCAGGTTGAGTTGCCATTTGTGTCGAGATTACTTCCTGCTACTATTTATTTATCTAAAGAGTCTATTTTAATGTGTTTACTAACTAACGTTGTTTGACAGGTTCTCCTGTTGCTAACGGGCCTTCGCTTCCACCGCTACGTGAGACTCTCTCTCTCTCTCTCTCTACCTTCGCATTTGGTTCTTTTCTTTATATCCATTCTTCAAATCCCTCCAGACCTAAAAACTTATTTATGATGCAGCTCCATTTTTACCGGCACCACCGCCGCCGCCACCACAAGTAGCTCCTCCACCAGCAGCTTCACCAGTCTCCACCGGCACTCCGGCAGACCAAGGGTTAAACGAGGGCCAACGTCCACTGCTGCTGCCGAGTTCAGCTATCAAGCTTACTCATCGTGCCTTTTCGATAGCTGTAGTCACTCTGCCTCTGCTTGGAACCATGTTGCTCTAGTAGGCCCCTTTGTTTTTGTTTTGTTTCGCTGCAGACGGTGGAAATTTGATGTTCTTTGATACATGAATTCTTCTATGTAATCGTTGCAAGAGTTCGAAATGCGACCATATTATTTGTTGTTCATTCCATCGGGTGGATTTTGTGTTGCTTGGTGGATCAACCAACTCCGATATTGAGACTTGATGATACCTGTCCAGAATTTATACATGACCAAACCTGTCGCTTTCTATCCATCACTGAAACTATAGTTTTCAGTGATGGATAGTCGGCGACCGACAAAAACAAGACGACGAAGAAAAATAATCATATTTAACTCAACATATATATGGCCCTACAAATTGTCACTCTGAATCAATTGAGAACCTCCAGCATTTCGCCGGAAGCTGCAAATGAATGGAGAAGAAAACTGACGACATAGTGCACACTTCTTCAGCTCACCGGGACGAAAGCTCCAACACGAAGATGGGCCATCACTACCTACCTTATTCCTCTTCCCATCTTCATTGACATGATCTTCCTCTTCTTGTGGGCTCGGTGTTTGGCACTGATTCGCAGCTTCCTCTTGGCATGGCGCATGGGGTTGATGACAGCAAGGAGCTTCTGCTCCTGTCTTCTCTTGTCCCTCTTCTGCTTGACGTTCTTCCTAACCCGATTGTAAACCTGCACAAAGCTATCAACCCCCAGCACATCCCTGAGGCTGTCACGGACCTCTTCGGCTAATTGTTTGATTTCATCTGTGACAATATGAAGCACAAAATAGTTCAGAGTTTGGCCCAAGAAGATCATTTTTGAACCCTATCATTTTGGAGTTCATATCACCGTAGAAATGTAGAAGAGCCAATCTCAAAGTTCATGCAAATTTTGATTATGCAGCTACCACGCCGATGCAGAATAGTATGCAGCGTAAGCAACAGAAGTGACAAAACAAAGATTGAAAAGAATCTTTGAAAGCAAGATTCTTGCAAACTATATCTTAAGCAACCGAGTTCAGCCAGTTTCTTCAAGCCATTAATAAGCAGAAGATTTAAGTGAAAGTCTATTGTTTAGAAAACAACCTATGTAGTGGTTGCTGATTTCCTAGTGAACAATTGCTCCTTTTTTACTCAATGTTGTTGTCTCAGAGTCATAATCGGTATTATACGATAGTCTCTGTGGTACAAAATGCTACAATGCACTGAAATATGACTCCTGAGAAGCATAAGTTTGCCAAGCACAGATGGAAAAACATTGATCTGCAATTAGCTCCATTAAGACAATTTCCCTCCATATCATGTTATCTATTGTTTTAGTTCCCAAAACTTATTCCTTCAGCATGTTAGCATGATTTTTGAGAAAAACAAGGAAAAATGTTTAAAATGACCTATAATGAATGAATTATAGGTCTACTGTCTCAGAAACATATACGCTAAGCTTTCTAGAAGTTGAGATTTGCTAAGTTACAGCAAAATTGGCAATATAGTAAAGACAAACGAACTCCAAATATTTTCCGTTATGGATAATATATTATTAACCACCAGCACAGCGGCATTCAATTGAGTAAAATATAAACTCACCACTGATGACCTTCCCCGCAAATCCTTCACATGCTTTATAGAGCGGACCCAACATGTGGATAGCGTAAGAACGGGAACCTTCAGAACCAGTCTGTAATGAAATCATCTTGAAGGAATTGAAGGCAATCCGCATCTGCATACAAGATATCATCAAAAAGGTACAGATCAAGAATAGAGTAAATAGGCTTGCTACTCTAAATCCAAACAATACACTACAAGCACCAACAAGTCACAGAGCCCATTGGCAGTCAGACAAGTATTGACCCACCTGTACATCTTCCATGTGCATTGCAATTTTTCCCATCCTCTTGATCAGAGGTACAACAAGCAATGACCTGACATCTTCACCATTGTCCTCATCAGCTTCATCACTTGTCCCAGAAAAATTACTTCTGACGGTGGTAGATAATAAGAATGAACTCTTTGCTTTTTTTGAACCAAGAAATTCAAAAGCCTCGAGGTAGACACCCTTCTCACTAGAATTAAGAGTCGACCAATAGTCATGGGGCACAAGTGACTTTATTAGTCTGGAGTGCAAACCACAGACTGAAAACACAAGATTCTGGGTTATGAGATTGCTCATTGTGTCATCAATTAGAGAAGTTTTCAGCTGATTCAAGCATGAAACAGCTACAGCAAAAAGTCTGCTTGGATTTACAAGAAAATAGCCTCCAGATTTCAGCTGTTGGTTATCGGTTTTACTGGCTTCTGTCACAGCAATGAAATAAGAGGCCACAAGGCGGCTGGAAATATTCCGGACCCAGATGTGTGGATGCAGCAGAAACTTGCATATAATCACCCATATTTCCTGAGATTTTTAAAAATTGATGTATGATTAAAAGAACAATAAATAGACTGCAACAGTGACAAAATAAGAGGAAAAGAACATCAGTTTATTTCACATCAAACTGCATTTTTGTTGTTTTTTCTTTCAGGAATCCATGCATATTACTCAGACCCTCACTGAAGGCTTCTTTATTTCTATGCTTCGATAAGTAGGTACTTTTACTTGTCAGTTTATCAAAACCTCATTTGCACCCATTAAATTTATGCACGATGTTGGCTACCTTGCTGAAGGGAAATCAAAGAGTGAGAGGGTGAGATATTAAAAAGTGAACGACACAGGCATACCATGTTGGCTGACCATAAAGGAAGACTTCACAGGGAAAATATATTTAGTTAATTAACATCTTCAATCTTACAGATAAAACAAATTAATTTGGAGTAATACAAATGCTTCCATATTATTGAGCCACTAAGATTACCTCTTACAGGAAACATGAGAGAAGCATTTAGAAAAGGAAAGCTAACCAATTTACCAGCCATAAGCCTCCTACAAAATGTATTGAACAATATCACTCCATGACAACTCATGATACATTATAGTCATTTGTTCCAGACCATTTCTCATTCCTTCCCTCTATCTATTTATTGCCATCAATCCTCCACCATAACTCTAGCAAAATATCCAATTTTATGTCTTAGTTTCCCTCTAACTAAACCCTCTCGACTTCTATCTGCCTTGCTATACGACTTCAAACTGCTCAAACTGATGCCTGGTCTCGTTGGCGAGAGACCAGCAAGTGGTGACATGATTTTGTGATGAGAGAAAAATAGAACCAACAGAGCATTCCTGCATGTGTCTATCTCAGCCATTTAAATAAGTAAAAATGTTTCAGAGGGCAAAGTTCTCATACCTCAAGGTTCCTCTCAAAATATAACTCTGGGAAGTACTGCAGCATCTTTTCCAGCATAATAAGAGAATAGTAAGCCTCCTTCCATAGTGGAATTGCAGGTTCATTCATAATGTCAAGACCCTTATTGCTAGCAGCATGAATAGAAGCTTCCAGGATACCTTTTGCAACATGCAATATACTAGTTATATGTTCCCGAATATCTTTTGTCATAACTTCAACCAGCAAACCAAGAACCTGATAACCATATACCGTAAGAATTATAGGATCAGTAATATAGCTCACAGGAAAAAAAAAAAATCCTTCCCTCATTCTGGTAGCATACACATAAAAGAAAAGATTCCACCTATAATTATTTTCAAATTGACGCGGAAAAATAGAAATTCATAATCTTGACAAGGAAGACAATTATTTGGTTTGTTCCATCAGAATGACAGAACCAAATTCAAATTCACCACTAGGAAATAACATTATTGAAAAGCTTCTTACCTGCTCCAAAAAGCCACACACACATCTGATGAAATCAGATCTGATCAGTTTTCTATCACAGTGGCCTATTCTTGTGGTCACTTTCTGCTGCAATCCTTTATTATATTTTAGGTTTAAGTTTAATCAAGTTGGCCTTGGGATGTTCAGGCTTGTGTGTAAGAGGCGTGTTTGATTTGGGGTGCAGCTATATATCTGTTAGAGTGATTCAGTTGGCCAGTTCTTGGTTAATTAAATCTAGGTATGTACGATTTTTTTTTTATTTAGGAATACAATTTCATGTAGCTCAAACAGTAGCATAAATTGTTAGTTTGCCTTTTTTAATATTAGCTTCAGCACCAGGGTCCCGCTGTTGTCAGCAGGTATAGACTTTATTCAATTCTTTACTTTCTTGTTTATTAAGTGAACTGGAAGCTCACAGTTGAGTCGAGATTGCTTAGAAAGACTTAAAACTTCATATGAGAAGAGAGTTGAACTTTGTGCGATCAAATGTCTGATTCCAAGTGACAAAAGGTACGCATGCTTGCTATCATATTATATCTTCTTTTTCTCAAACAATTTATCCTTTATTCTCTATCACTTATTCAGCTCTAGTTATCATCTTCATATTATTAATTTTGACTTGCAAGCATGCTTTGCACTAAAAGCTATAATAGGACCATAGATCAGGGATTGCTGTACTGCCCGAAATGGTATGGTTTGGACGGTATGTACCGGTACAGGCATGGACCGATACACGGACTACCCCATTTTGGGCTGTCTGCATTAAAATAATTTAAAAATCAAAAAGTGGTGGACCCCAGACCATTTCAACGGTTAAAAAAAAACATATTAGGGTTCTTGTCACGTACGAAGCCATGGCACTACCTCTTCGCCGCTGCGATGCTGCAGCGGCGTTGCCACTTCTCCGTTGTGATGCTGTAGCGTCACCACCTCTTCGCCGCTGTGATGCTACTGCTTCCCTTCGACACTGTCGCTGCTTCCCAGGTATCGCTGCACTTCTCCTCCTTTTCTTTCTTCTTCTTCTTCTTCCTTTCTCCTTCTTCCTCCTTTGTTCCTCCACTGAACCTTCCACTTAAACCTCCCTTTCCTCCTCGTCGAAACATCGGTACGCACCAGTGTACCATGTGTCGGTACACCAGTATGACTCGGACCGTTAAGTCAAACCTTGCTATAGATTATTGATATCTAAATAAGGTTACCTCAAGTATGAACAAGCAAAACCACCAGATCAGTGTACTAATATAAAATTTGGTATGACAGTGAAATAAGTCAATCTATGGCCTTCAAGTTTCCAATAAGAAAACCTCTCGAATAGTTCCAAAATGGATGAAACAGAGAGGAGCAAATTGCAGGATCTTTTCACCTTGAAGCTATCTTTCAGAAGATAATG